CACTCCACAACTGGGTAAGAATCTTTGACATGCGCCCAGGGAGATCGTTGTCCTCGATAGATATCCGACGCGTTAGGGCAATGGCAGAGTTGAATGAGCGTTTACCGGTCTCTAGGTCGAGATAGGGGCCGAGGTTCGAATAGCTCAATTTGAGTATGAACATAGCTGCGATAGAGATGATACGGAAATAGGACACGGGCCCGTAGGCCATGGCGTCGGTGAGGGCTTCGAGTTGGTTGATGATTGTTATGGTGGAGATTGACATGCTGTATGCGCGGAGGAGCCCGCGTTTGCGCGTGTCGGAGTCGGATTCTTCGAGTAGGTAGAAGACGTAGAGTTGGAGACCGGTGCCATTAAGAAGGACTTTGTTCTCCTCTGCGGGCAAGGTTAGTAATGATGGGATGGGACGAGTTGGTGTGTGACGGACCAGATATGTAGCTGGTTAAAGTGGATGCCAGTTCGGTGTATTCTCGCTCCAACAGGGCCAGAAGGGAGATGAATTCCCCTGGACGAGGAAGATCCGTTGGACCCTGTGAGTGGCTGGACATGAATTGACCTACACGGGCCGAAAACCGTGATATGAGGAGTTGATGTTTGAGGGACGTGGGGATCATGGTGCTGTCCCGGTCACAAAGCCGATCGATCATCCAGTCTGACGAAACCCATACTTGTCCGTCTATGGTTACGATCCTGTGAGGATAGTTGAGTCAGATAGCTACGACAAAACATGGCTAAAGCAGAGTGTCACCTACGTTTGAGCGGTGATATAGCAGGTCGCCCATGTTCGAGCTACTTCGGCCATCTCATCCGGCATCAAACGTCTTTTGGTTCGGGAAAAATCCTGGATGGCTTCTGGTCGATGCAGTCCGATGCGGAGGGAGATCGTCTGCGCGGTGGATAGGAGAATGGATGTAATATCGGATGAAAGAGATGAAGTGGGAAATGGCCACAGACACACTAGGACGATAGCCTGCACGACATGCCAGGTGTGCGGGGGATTGGCGATGGTGTCCCATATGAGCTTCTTGACGGGAGCCGTGAGACTGACAAACAAGCCAGGTTCTTCCGTATATCGACGAGAGGCCAGCAGAATGATGGACCAGAATAACACTGCAGATTGAGCATAATATTGGTTCGGGGAGATGGTTGGATCCAACAAGGGTACGTAGGGATGATAGTGAGTGAAGAAGCTACCGGCATCAGCTCAAAGATAGGTAGCAGGCTGACAAATCTTACATGTTGAACAGAGCATTTACTTGAAACCCATGGAGGTGGACAAACTCTAGCGACCTGGATGAGGTTGGGGACGTCGTGTCGGTAAGTAAAGGCGACGGTTGACTAGGTTGCTGGGATGGCAAGGAATGTACTGGAGTTGTAGGTTCTACTGGCAAAGGTGGCATTTGGGAAGCCACCAGATCCACTCGCGACCCTGAGGGTTCCTGAACGATAATAGAGGAGGCATCGGCATGGTACGATTCGCTGGGGGTGAGGAGAATGCCTTGGAGGGACTGTGGCGCGGCAGCGGGAGGATGAGTGGAGACGGATGAGCGCAGATGCTGAACTTCCTTCTCCAGTTCCTCTAGTCTCCTATAAGGTATCAGAATGTGTGTATTGGAAGCGACGAAGTAGCCCTTTATGGCCAGTGAGGTATACTCTCGCCCGTTGACACGTTGATACGCCACATCAAGCCGGCATTCGTAGCCCAGCCGGCGACATCGGGAGCAGGGGATAGCACCACCTGTGGATACCTCACATCGAAGCTAGGCCATATCGTCAGATACGAAGAAGAACAGAGGCGGGCTAGTATCATAACTGACCTTTGACTGGCGACATTGCCTGCAGGCAATCCGCTTACTGCGATGGCGCGGGAAGGGGGACTGGGGCGCGCGTTGGGGTGGCATGCTAAATGACTAGACACCCATTCTCCGAGGAGTAAGCACCAGGAAGACAGTGCAGTAGGTGACGTTTAGAGGTAACTAGCTAGTTACGGAGTACGATGCTTAGGTCAACCGTGCCAGGGAGAGACAGAGCAAGAAGATGTGCACAGATAGTGAGATAGTGAGTTACTGTCAGCCCTGGTCGGGCTTTGTTGTTCCCTCTTCTGGTCAACTCCGTTGGCGGGCCGAATGTACGCAAAGAGGGTTTAGCGCCATCACGAGCGGCCCGAGGAGTATGTGTCATCATCTCAATCGGGAAGTCCAGGGTTGTTGATTATTCCGGCAGCCTTGATTGGACATTGACTTCGACTCAAGAGCTGTTGAGTCGGATGTCAGACGGTTGCGCGACGGAGCAGAGTCGGCCATGCAGATGGGCATATCCGATTGGCTTGATCTGCGTGATAAGGGTAGCCCGCGAGTGCCACAGCCGACACCGTGCATCTTCCGTCTGGATGAAAAAAGCACTACTATGTATGTGTGTGCTGATGGGTAAAGCATGGCGTCCCATATAGCTTATTGTATCAGTTCGACATGATGGAAATACTGGTAGCCGAAGGAGTTAGTATATTAACGATCACACGCTTCTGTATTCGGCAGATTACAAAACCCACGTAGACCTCGAGTCATGGTCAACACCCCGTCTGCATCGTACGATGGTGGAGTGAAAACTTTGAGTGGAAGGAAGAGGGTCCTTGTATGATGCTGGGTCATACATACGGCTTTACACTTCTATATGGTCATGCAGTTCTGACGTTAAGGATATGCGGTCAATGCTTAAACGCGCACACATGCCGAATCCTACGCCGGGATCGTCTATTCAGTGAACGGTGAATCGTTCGATGGATCTTCCCTGGTCTGATTCAGGGCCAGGTTGCCGCAGGGGCAAGTCTGCTTTCCCAGCTTGGTAGCAGCATAAACTCCGTGTCCAAATAGGTTAGACTCATGGGTCATCTACACCCACGACGCGTACTCAAATTGAGAACCACTACTATCTTAAACTGAACTTGGTAGGGAAATTACAACTGCCGAGAAGGCTGTCTCATTATGAAACATGGCGAAGCAGGCAGTCGTTCAGCCATCTCCTTTAGGAACGGGACGCTTGCCTTGCCCAACAAGGTAATATCTGAATACGATCTGACTATCTAGAGATTTCATATCCTAAGCGAATGCGTTCCCTAGCCCATATTAGGAGAAAATCAAGAGATAGTGGGACGAAACGTAATCGTTAATTCTATCCGTGATGTAGTCGGCGAATATTCGGGGAATCCCCGCAACTCAGGGCCTTATGCCAAACCCGCCCGGGAAAGAGATCTGAGTGAGATGATGCCGTGCTTGTGGAGACGGACGGGAAGCCGAACAGTCCCTGGACCCTATGCCATATGGCACAGTCCACATTAAGCATGAATCAACGCATGTTCCATTTCCAGGCAAACCACATCCAAAGCTACCGATATTGCATGTCTACACTCAAAATGAACTGTCAAGACAGGGTGAAACGCGTCAGCAGAACTCTAGTTCTGAGACATCAATATGTGTGCCGTCCACCGTGCTTGGGGAAGCCTTCCACGGGCAAGTGGTGGTGAGGCCGCTTAGAGAAGACTGGTACGGAGGTGCAGATGAAAAACTAAGCGGAAAAGTTGCGTTGTCCATGGATCGTCATGAACAGGGCATGATTTTACCTCTCTTGTATGAAAACTTCCTTACATTGAATAGACAATGATCGTCGCGGTCTGAATCTATAAAGAACACGCCATGCCCCAGTCACAGCTGACAGTAAACCAACTCCTTCATTAAGTCATTCGCTCGTTTTTCATTCGTTTAGTATTTGATACATTTTGAAAATGTTCGCCAAACTCTCCCTCCTTTCGCTTCTTTTCAGCTCTGCTGCGCTGGGCGCCTCCAACCAGACTCTGTCGTATGGCAACATTGACAAGTCTGCCACCCCCGGCGCCAGAGCGCTCCTGAAGTACATCCAGCTTCAGTATGGATCGCACTACATATCTGGACAGCAGGACATCGACAGCTGGAATTGGGTCGAGAAGAACATTGGTGTGGCCCCTGCCATCCTCGGCAGCGACTTCACCTACTACTCGCCTTCGGCTGTTGCCCACGGCGGCAAGTCTCACGCGGTCGAGGATGTAATCCAGCACGCCGGTCGCAATGGAATCAATGCCCTGGTTTGGCATTGGTACGCCCCCACCTGTCTGCTCGATACCGAGAAAGAGCCGTGGTACAAGGGATTCTACACCGAGGCCACCTGCTTCAACGTGTCTGAAGCCGTCAACGACCATGGCAACGGCACCAACTACAAGCTCCTGCTGCGTGATATCGACGCTATTGCTGCTCAGATCAAGCGCCTGGATCAGGCCAACGTGCCCATTCTCTTCCGCCCGCTCCACGAGCCCGAGGGTGGCTGGTTTTGGTGGGGTGCCCAGGGTCCTGCTCCCTTCAAGAAGCTGTGGGATATCCTCTACGACCGCATCACTCGCTACCACAACCTCCATAACTTGGTCTGGGTTTGCAACACTGCTGATCCGGCCTGGTATCCCGGAAACGACAAATGCGACATCGCCACCATCGATCACTATCCCGCCGTTGGTGACCACGGAGTCGCGGCCGACCAGTATAAGAAGCTCCAGACCCTGACCAAGAACGAGAGAGTTTTGGCTATGGCAGAAGTTGGCCCCATTCCGGACCCCGATATGCAGGCTCGTGAGAACGTCAACTGGGCTTACTGGATGGTTTGGTCCGGTGACTTCATTGAGGATGGTAAGCAGAACCCTAACCAGTTCTTGCACAAGGTGTACAACGATACCCGGGTTGTGGCTCTGAACTGGGAGGGGGCGTGAGCGGACGTGGCAGATTGCCATGAGGGGAGTTCAATCTTTAGGAGTGTTGAACAAATGGGAGAGAGGAACGTTGTGGATATTGCTAGGCTACTCCGGAAGTGGCCATCCTGGCAGCCAACAGTCACTCGAAGCGCTTCCTTAGCTAGTGTGTACTATCGCCATACAGAAATAAACAGTGTATTACATTGGATCTTCTGTCGTGTAACTGATTGTACTAACCATCCATTCCCGAAGACGTAAGGGGCCAACTGTGCCAATAAATTGCCAAGCACTGATATCCTCTGTGGGCCAGAGGGACTGAAACACGGTTTGAACGTCTTTTTCCTCTTCCATGGCGAATACGCCACCCACTTCCTGTACAGGGATCAATGTGCTATCTTCTTCATCTGCTAGGTCGCTTTAAGTCACGCCTTGGCTTAATACACTTCTGGGCTCGTAGCCCTGTCAGAAGATCTGGCTCAACTACCCACGTCGGGGCCATTTGGTCTAGAAAGCCTTCCTCCTTAACCTTTTTACAGTCTTCATAATAGAAGTATCTGGAATACTCTCCCAACTGGCCATACAAAGGGTGGATCGTCAGACGTTGTAGGCAATTCCCGTTTCGACCTTTCCAGACATACGAGAAGATTGCCTTGGCCAACGCTTCATCGATGGCGCAATTGATCAACAAATCACGCATGTACCATCTGGGCCACCCGCCTAGCACGGAACTATGCCAGATTCGAGCCATTTCGAAATCTGTCAACTCACGCGGCGGGACCGGGTGGCTGAGACTGTTCATCTCCGGAAGGCAGTTGAGAACTAGTTCTAGCTCCTCTAGACATGTGAACTGCCCTAGGGCTGTGTACACGGCTCCCTCAAGGCCACGGCGGCGCTGAACACAGATTTGCAGCTTCTTGAGCAATGAAAGCTGGCGGCTGAGGTCCAAAATATCATTGACCGAGAAAACTGGACCAATTCCTTTGCCTAGGGCAAGCTCATACAGGTCTATCTCTTGCGTCGAAGGCGATGCCCGATGTAATTCCAATTCGAGGAGTGTCGGTCCATGCTTGCGAAGCACTTTACCACGGGTGAGTAATGCGGGCTTATATCCGCCTAGCAGGCAGAGAGATTTCAATGGGGGCAAGGATTCCAACATCGCCTCTGCACTGGACCAAAATGCGTACTCGTTCTCATACGAATCGATTAAGGCAAGGGTTAGGTGGGTAGGCTACTTGAAGGGTTGCATACTCGCCAGAGTCTGTAGCAGCATCGTATCCTTGATGCAGCCAGCTGTCCACGATCTCAGACATTCTAGATTTGTCAGTTCTTTCAAGCACTGGAAGCCCTCCACGGTCACCTCCCTATCTAGCGGCCAGCATAAGGATTCTATTTGGGCGACTACTTGAGGTACATCCTGACTTTCCTCCATAGGCAGGGGACCACAAGAACAGGACTGAACTGAGACCCTCCGTACATGTGGTGCTCGGTGCACAATGCTCTGCAGTAACCTATCCGTAGACTGTGTCTCACCGTTTTCAGTGTTCTCCAAGGGATAATGACACACGGCATGTAGTAACGGTGAGCCATCCCAAGCCTTGTTCGCTGAAAGTGATGAGATGAAGAGGGAGACTCGACAAGTTGGATGATGTCGTGAGATAGTCTCAGCCAGCTCAATCGTTCCACCCTCCTCATCAATAATATTGACCTCACTGAGATTAGGCAGCTGTGTAATTAGATTGAGAATCGGGGCCAGATCCTCTTCGTAGGAAGGACGTCGATCAATAAAGCCCTTCCCGACACCCCCTTGTTCCAGGGCATCACGAGTATCTAGGTAGTATTTAAGCGGGGGCTCTATGAATCCCCTAACTGTCATAAGACTTAGTCGCTTCACATATGCAAAGACTCTTTGGGTATGCGGCAGACGGAGCAAGTAAGAGCAGGATTCCTTGATATCTAAAGGTATCAAAAGGTGGCGATATAAGACTGATCCTGCGATGTTGTTCCATACCCTACCAACTTGAGACAATGCCATCAGGCTTCTTCGGGTTCTATCACACAACTGCGGGCTGCATCAGTGCCGTGTATCAAGAGTTTAGTTGAACGTACCTACCAAAGTTGCAATGACATGCTTGATCTCTTCTGGTAGCTTGTCCATGGTTTCTAAACACTTGAACAAGATGGCTTATAGATGTATGCTATTGATGTTACAGGACGGCAAGCTTGGGAGAGTTAACATCTGAAGGGATGCTGGGCTGCTGGAATCAGCGAGATCGTCACTATGCTCCCACCACTGCAAGGAATACTGTCCATTATATGTTCTAACTTCGAAAGGGGGGTTCTGCCCAATCTTTCACTAAAAATGGTAGCGACCTCCGCCAGGTTGGAGAAATGAACATTCCATTTTACACCGGATCTCAGACGCCATGTAAGTACTGATGGTGGATTATGCCAGAGAAGGCGAGAGAATTTATGGCCGGGTCCATGATAATGTAGCAATTTAAAAGAGAAGATCTTAGAAGCTTGTCCGCTGTTAGCTCGGATATTCCCGATGTCCGTCAATGGCCACAAGATAACAATCATTGTAGTTCCCCAAGTCTTGCTGGTGTTTCAACTGAACAAGGTCAAGAGAGCTAAAAAGGACAAAGTAGGGTTCAGACGGGAGAAGGCCTGGTTTATGGAATATGTCGAAAAGACGCGGCTCAGACGAATGCAAGAATGCAATCTGGATAAACCTAACCGGGGTACAACACGCCATGAGGACTGTCTGCATGCAATCCCGGCTAAACTCTGAGAGGAAAAAGGAAGATGCGGCCTATAAAGCCAATATGTGATAGCACAACGATAACCCACTCGAAGAGTTAGTTTCTTAGCGCGTCTAGTGTTGGCCACAATGGAGTGTTCTTCTATGACCTGCTGATTCTTTGCTGGCATTTTGCTCCAGCAAATCTCGTTCTTCTGCTGTTCCACCGCAAAAGGTTCAGCTGGAAGGCCATGTCAGATGGCGTTCTTCTTCCAATAATCGGGGAAAAGTGATGGTGCCACTGTGCGAGTGGACTGTCAATACTTCTATTCAGGTCAGCCCCTGCACTAACACTCATTCAGTGTCGAAACTGATGGTTGTGTCCAGTGGTATAGCATCATCCAGGTCGGCGATCCACCACAGAATATGTCCGTAGCCTATCTTACCTTTGGCGGGTTCTATGATGATGATTAATTTTCCGTATAGCACGCTGATGTACGACACAGAATCGACAGACCCAGTCCTAGCGGTGAGGAACCATGTGGACTGCGGTAGTCATATCCTCTCTCAAACCGCCAAATTTCGAACCTTCTTCCGATGTGAAACTCGTGGGAAATTACAGCACTGGTGTCACGGCGGTGTCCTTGCGCAAGTCAGAAGTTGTCAGTTGCACGGTAAACTGTGAGACCGCCCGTCTAGCAGAGCTCACCTCGTCGGAGCATTATATCATTTGCATTATCCACTTCCCAGAGGTGTTCCGAATTACACCCATGGACAACATAATGGGGATGAAAGTTGCGCCACGGTCTGCGGTTGACAGGGTTCCTACATTCTGGTCATAGTGTTATAGCGGACAGCTAGCCGAGATGGCTTCTGTTCTTCTACTTTATCCTAGGCTCAGAGTACCGGGCTGAGCTGACTTTGGGTGAAGCGGATGGGTTCAAGGTGGTCGGTGATATTAAGTGGACCGACCTCAATCGTAATGCGAGCATCCCCTCCCCAAATACGGGGTGGACTTCGTGAGTCTCGACATCAACAGGCGGCATGCCCTCGCGACTGGTAACTACAGCACTGGGATTGGGATGGCCTGCCCGCACCATTTGCTGCTGGTCTAATTGCCTCTAGTACAGGAACGGCCTTTCTTCAGACACCTGATGCACACTTCCGCGAGTGTTTTTCCATCTAGGCGAGTAACCGGGGCAGCCAGGAATCCGTCAAGCAAAACTTACGAGACCCACGGAGCCTCTTGAGAATCCAACGCGAGAAGGGCGTGGCGTGTGGCCGGTGGAATCTCCCTTACTGAAAGCATATTATATCATCTGGAATGGCCTGGATCTTCGGGTGGTATTTGCCACAGCGGCGGCACTTTTCATCTCTTAGATGACTCTTGGGATACGCTGGCCGTGCCGATTACACTACAATTATTGAGATGACCATATCGACGATACAATATGTACGACCTTGCGGGTACACATATGTAATCAGTAATCCACTGGGTGCTGCGTGTTGGCATATCCTGGACGGGAAAGAGTCTGCACTAACGAGCTGCTATTAGGACGGATGACTATAAATAGGTGTCGGTCGTCGAAAGCTGCATCACTTTCCGAGGTTCAAAAACTGGTTACACAGCAGGTAAACAAGAAACCAACTGCTGCGGATGCTGGAACGCAAGGGGAGACACAGCCTTATCTCGTGCAGCCCGAGATGCATACGCGACTTCCGGCGGTGTGAAGATTGCCATGTTATTGGGGATGAGATGTCACATTCCGCCATCGCAAAATTTTCTTCCTGTTGGGTAGTAGCTTACCTAAGTTAACATACTGTGAACTGTTCTCGTAGTGATTGGATGGACCCATAGAGCATGAGGTGAAAGATAAGAAGCAAAGAAGTAAGACGGAACCGTAAGGAGTGTCATTCCACGGTATTGGATATGCTCTTGAATGTTTCTAGGCTCGGCTGCTTGAAGTAGAGCACAAATACTAGTCATTATCAGTGTGAAAGAATACGAAGAGTCTCAATACAATCATTCTCTGATTAGCTTTATATGCCTTTGATGCCTCATGAAAGTTGAAGGTTTTTCCCAAGTAATATATACGGTAAGGTACCGTCTCGTAATCACTCACCGGTAGTCGCAACTGATGGCCGCGGTGGTGGAAGCGTGGCCAGGCCCTAAGATCCGACTGGACAAAGATCTCCCGTCAGCATCCCTGCATCTCCTGCTGCTTAGTGCGCTGATCTATCTGTGACGTGTCCAGCAAAAGGGTTGTTAGTACGTCACAAAGAACAAGTACCCGAAAGTAAGATTGCGTTTGGAATCGGTCATACTTCGATTAACCGGAAAATTCAACCACAAGTCCCAAGCATATATCTCCGGGCAAGATAAAACCAAGGAGGGCACAAATAACGGTTTTTTAATGAAACCTTTAACAACCACGATATTGACATCTGGGTATGTGCTACAGAGGCCTAACATCGACAGTACACGGATACCAGCGAAAGAAAAGGGAAAAAAAGTTCGATCGGCAAGGAAGTGTGGAGATGATCTGTCGTTGTCAATTCGCGCCCCGCTGGATCGACATACGCTTGCGGCTCATGGGTTCGATGGGGGTTTGATCTCTCATTTTCTAGTGCGCCCTTAAACCAAAGCAATCGCAGAGAGATCTAGTTCCGATACTAGTGACTATGTCTTGAGACTACAAAGAACAAGTACAAAGAACGAAGAAAACCTCCACGAACCAAGCAAGTTCTATTTTCAATTCTCATGAGTCATAGACTAAAAACAAGCGTGTGCGTGATCCCGAAATGAATTTGATGATCAGACGTAGAGAAGCGCCAAAGCAGCACCAATCAGAGCCACAAGCCCTTGAGGAGCGTTGAATGTAGTTGAAGCCGCGCCCGTGGATAGCTGAGCGGTAGTCGTGGCGGCAGTGCTGTTCGACCTCGAGGTAGAAGACGCGGACGTGGCGAGCGTAGTACCCGTAGAAGAGGATGAAGACGTGGAGGTAGACGTAGTCGATCCTGTAGAGAAATCACACTTCGGTCAGTGAGGTCGCCGTGCCACAATAACGAAAAGACATCTTGCCTGAAGATGAAGATAGAGGACTGCTCGACGAGGTAGTTGTCGAAGACACCGCAGTCGTAGGGGTGACTGTGGTGGATTCGGTCTCACTGGATGTCGAAGAGGAGGAGGTAGAAGAAGAGGAAGAGGAAGAAGATGTAGTGGAAGTGGAAGAAGATGACGAGGAAGTAGTACCATCGCTTGAAGCACCCTTTTCGACAGTAAAAGTCGGGCTCACAGCGAGCTCGCCCGACGAGTCGATGATCTCGATTTCATAGTCAGACCTAGGATGGAAAATAGGAAGTTAGTAGTGTTCCCACTTCCAACTGTCGGTGAGTTCACACGGTCTAGAGTACGC